ATCTCCTCTCCGGGCGAGGGGCGGGCGGGGCGGGGGTGTGTGGCCGCGAACCGAATCAGCCTGCTCCAGTCGTGCCCCGCCGTGGCTGGTCTCCCAGCCCCTGCGGAGGGTGCGCGTCGTGTCGCGTGCCCCGAGCTCTCGCGGGTCCACTGCACGCGCACGACGGACGCCCGCAGCCGCAGCAGTGACCGCGGCGCGCGCCCGTCTGTTCAGGCGTGTTTTTGTGTTGCATTCCCGCATGATCGAACTGAACTCTGAACAAGTTGGCCCCCGCGGGCCGGGCGCCGAAAAACCGAACGTTTTGCAAACATCCGTGGGACGCGCGGGCCGCGGCGGGGCGCTCCGCGGACAGCGGCCGGGCGAGTGAGGCTGTCGCTCGCGGAACTATGTTCCGGGTCCGGGTGTATCTGTCCGGACGCTGCAGTGTGGCGGGTCTACCTACTCCCTTCGCCCGTTAGGCGCCATGGCCCATGAGGACCAAGAGGGTGGGTTAGGTTGAGTTACACACCACAGTTTCAGGATGACTTCACTTCAACTTCAATGCTGGTTGGTTACGACGTCAGTTCACATGAACTGCTTGAATCACCGGTAACTTAAGCAAAGCAGTAAAGATCTCTAAAATCCGTCAACATATTTTTCAAAAATAAAATAAATTATTGGAATATTTTTAATGAGTCATTTACAGAAAAAGTATCAGCTTCGTCATACATCTTTTAGCAGCAGGTGCGGGCGTGCAGACCTGGCGCAGGTGAATGACATCACCTGACAACACTCTGGCTGCACCGAGGTAAACCCGCGGAGAAAGGCGCAGCGTGGCAGGCGCGGGGGTGCGGGGTCCACCCGCGCGCCCCGGTAATTCCAGGGCAAATGAACTTTGCAGCTCGGGTCGCCGATCTCATACGGATGGGGCTTTTCGTCTCTTCTTTTTTTTCTTTGCCCATGGCTAATTATTTGTATTACTCACGTTTTGCGTACTTGGTTCCGGTATGTTTCGCCCTCCCCCGGGGCCCGCGGCCCGCGGGCATGACTCACGCACCACCCGTCCGCGCGCCGACCTCAACGCCGCCGCCGTCGTCAGACCTGGTCAGACTATCCCGCCGATGATCCGCGCGATTATATCGAAGACGGGGGCCTCCGGAGCCGGCGGGACCCGGGCGCTGCTTCGCACGTGTTGCGGACCGCACGCCCGGAGCGATGGGGATCTAGGGCGCACAACCCCAACCCCCACCCCAACCCCCAACCCCCAACCCAACCCCAACCGTGTTTTATTTTTGCTAATGCATTGATGGGGGTCGGGGTGGTGGTGGAGGTTGTTTTATAAAACCGATAACACCTTACCTCGCGCGCGGTCATCGATTCGAGGTTTTCGTAGACTTATTCTGAATTTTTCACGGCCGTTTTTGGGGAGACACGTGATGCGTGACGCGATGTGTCTCCAGGATGTAGCACGATTACGGTCACGGAAACTGCGGACAAGGTAACAGTTCGATACTGTAATGTGATGGCGTGCGCCTAGGAATTCATGTCAAACCCCAGACATATATTGATGGCATCGAGGATATTTTTTTTCTATTTTGTGACACCCTTGTAAAAACTACCGTAAGGGTGTTTACATATCACATGGTTTGCGCGCCTTCCCTCCCACACCAGGCCTGACGTTGGCGTGTCGCGTGGGGGACGCGCGCGCGCCTCTGCAGCTCGGCGGCCGCCGCCTCCTATTTACCTGTCGCGTCATAAAACCATCCCCTCATCAGAGCAGAGAGGTAGAGAGAAAAGGAAAGTATATGGCAGAGAGAGAAAGACAGAAACAGTTGCCTGTCGCTTTCGTGAGATGAGGCATGCTCTTTATTTGCGCCGAGCTTGCTGCAGCCGCTATGCTGGGCCCGGTGCTTTTGTTATCGGTCGCTGAAAGGATCTCAGGTAAGTTGTACAACACACCCCGCCCCGACAGACGATATTTAACGAGTTATTTTCGGCGGCCGGAGCGCGCCGTCGTAAAAACGTACAGTGGCTCCGAATAATTACTACTTCTTTTGCCCTTTTTATTTCGCTTACCTTGAACGACCAGAGGGACCCCTGCTCTGGACAAGAGGAGCAGGAGGGCTGCTAGCTGCGCGCGGGAGAGCTGATGGCGAGGGTCTCTCTCCATGTTGGTGATGGTGATGGACTTGATGGAATGAAAAATTTCTGGAGGAACTTATTCCGGAGCGTTCATGGGGTTGTGGGTCTTCCAGTTGGTATGGGTGGGTCGAGAGACAGGGTTCTCTGCATGGGTTCTTCAGATGATGCAAGATGATGCAAGAGAGGCAGGAAGGCGCAAGCTGCTCTCTGCTCTACGGAGGGAGGGCATAAGCGGGTGCGGCCATAGAGGCTATACGGACTTGAGCCCGCCCAGAGTTGAGCCCTGACCATTGTAGGCCCGACTAATGCCCGATATGAGCCTAGATCCTCGTCAGCTTTGGTCCTGGCTACGTCCAGCTAGGCTCATATCGGACACTGCTTGGGCCTACAGTGGTCCGGGCTCAACTCCGGGCTGAGGCTGCCACGGAGGACGACTGGCGAGAGCGAACTCTTTTATTTGCATGTGGACCGTTATCAGTGCTGGTAGTGCGGGCGGGTTGGCATCCTCCCGTCGGACAGGCCCGGCGGCGGGCTCAGCAGAGCCAAGGTCTCTTCGCAATCCATCATCGGGAAAGGTGCGCGCAGGTATGACTGCTGATGAAAAGAGACGAGCTCGGAGCACGGCGTGGCGGGGCGTGGCGGGGCGTGGCGGGGCGTGGCGGGGCGTGGCGGGGCGTGGCGGGGCGTGGCGAAGCCCCCAGGGCGGCGGACTTGAAAGGGACGAGCAAAAGAGCTTCATCGCAATTACCGCGACCTGTTATTTTATTATTGGCCCCGCTTCTGTCCCGTTCCCTCCTTACACTCTGCGCTCCGGACGGGAGTGTGTACAATGTGTAAGTAACGTCGGACAGCAGCTGTTCTGTTCGGTTTGGAATGCCTCTTCCTCTCTCTCTCTCGCTCTCCCGCTGCTGTCCTGCGCCTCCAGCCGGCTCCAGAGCTCAGCCGCGGCCGGAGCAGCCCGGTCCAGGGGGCATTATAGCGGACCTACCGGGCCGAACCCGGGGGGCTGAGGGGGAAGGGGGGAGATGGTACTAGAGACGCGAACCACCGTCGCAAACACTTGCTTAGACTGGAGGGCGCCGAACCGGTGAGGTCCGAAAGTGTGTGAGAGAGAGAGTAGAGGGGGGGGGGGTAGTGTATGTGCCGTTACCACGGGGCGGGGCGGAAGGAACGCCTGGCAACAACAAACGGCGCGTAGAGGAAGGGAAGGGAAAGAAATAGAGGGGGGAGGGGTGTTTAGTGATCTGCGTGCGTCGCGGAAGTTTTTGGCAGCTGTCGAATATGGGCCAAGGCACTGCGGTGTGATATGTTGTGCGAAAATGCGTCGTATACCTGATTTTCTCATTCTTACATAGTCCGTGTATAGTACAGTCACTTGATATCGTACAGCAACGTGCGTTTTAGTTTTAATGACTGCCGTTTTATGTCGACCCGCGAGAGAATAACTCTTCTTGCGAACTGCGCAGCTGTAAAAACGTGATAGTATATAACGTTCCGCACGGGACGTGAACGTGATGCCTCCTCCCCTCGCCCCCCTTCCTCTTGTTGTCTTTCCCCCAATGTGGACCAGGTTCCGCTACCAGGACCAGTCCTTCCTTTGGCTTTTCTGATTTGCATATTCTTATAAGAGGTAGGTTCAGGAGTTGGTAAGGTTTGTGAGGCTGTGGTTGTGGGCACGGCGGAGCGCGGGGGGCAGGAGTAGGGGAAGGGGCAAGGTAAAACCAAGAGGGAGGACGTGACGGAGCCCTCGTCCTGCCTGAAGTTTAGTCCTGCTTGCGGAGCAAGGTCTACGCTTCAAAGTCACCCGCACGAAGAAAAAAAAAAGATTAGCTAGATAGCTAAGCACGGGACGACTCATTCCTTAGCCATGTAGTTCAAAATTCAACTGTGTCGGAAAAGCTTGATATCTTAGCTAGTTATCCAGCTAAATATTTAGCAATCTAGCTAAACAAGCAATGACACATTTGACTTTACTAATTTCAGTTGTGAGTTCAAAGTTTCAGTTGAGTAAATTTTAAATGTATCATCCGCTAAAAAGATTTAGAGATGAAAATTTAGCTATGTAGGTAGCTAAATTTATAGATACATAGCTACATACGTAATTAGTTATTCCGTATTTAGCTATAAATGATTTAAAACAGGTAATTGTTTTTATTTTTCGTATGGCGTCGTGAGTGCGTCGGCCAGTGCCAGTGGAGCTGCGCGCACAGGGGTGCTGCATGGCGACGGAGGCGCCTCCCCGGTAGTGCAACGCAGTCCAGCGCGAGGGAAGCCCCAGCAGCAAGTGTGTCAAGGCGTGCGAACAAGGCCCGAGACCGAGCTGCTGCCCACCATTGAGTACCCGGGGTACTATGAGCAGCCTCGTTCCCTACCCCTACCGCACTACACATCGTTTGTTTGAGTCGCGCTGATATTTTACAAACACCCACGCCTACCCCCAACCCCCAACTCAACCCACTCTACTTCTTAAAAAATATCTGATGCTTAAGCTGTATACGAGATAAAACAGAAATAAAAGGATACATTTTGAAA